AATGCAAAACCAAAGTACCTTCGTTTCAAATTCCATCTTAGGTTACGTTTGTGTTCACTGATTGTTGGTTTATTTAACGACGCTTTTCAACTGCGTATGCTTATATAGCTGGTGAGAGGATGAAGAAATAAGGAAGGAAACGCTCGTGGTTTGTTGTTTCGTATCTTAACATGCGCCTGGAGGGAGTAAATATGAAAACTCTGATTGTACATTTTCGATTTCTTGGTTTGAATTCGAAATGGAATTTTTTCTTTCTTCTTATTCTCCTTCCCTTATTCATTTCTTTCATCGTTGCTTTATTGTATATTCCTCCTTGATTGTCCATTTATCCTTCGCTTCCTTCCTGATCCTTTGCAGCTGGAGCTATATGACGCAAATGTTTCGCCTGTTATATCACGTGCAGACAATGTGAGGGCGGTGATCGATTAAGGTCCTAACTCGAACCATCATTATCTGCGCCATAAATTTTATAAGCGCGTGTGATTGGCTGCAAGACTGCAGTGAACTTGCCCCTGATTGCGGCCGATAGCGAGACGCAAAACTCGGTGGAGACTAGACGGAATTTTGCTGCCAAGATTTGGCATGTGGGGAGGAGGGGGAGATGAAAAAGAAGGTCTGTCTGGGGTCTTTTGGACCCCAGACAGAATACAATTTGTGTGATTATCGTTACAGCTCAAAAATACACAAAACAATTTTTGTCTCGTGCCAAAGTAGACCCAACGTAATTTAACATGACTTTACTTGAAGAAGGATGTGTTGTGGATGGTGGTCCTGTGGGCTGGTGGACGTGTACCGACGTTTCAGAGGTACCTGATACATCACACCGAAATGAGATTGAATATTATTAGATGTACCTAGGTAGATCTTATTACGAACCGTTATTAAAAAATTGTTTAATCGGACAAAACGGAAGCCACCGAAATTAAATTGACCGGAAACCATTCAGATTAAAACCTAAAATTGTTTTGGAGACACCAAGGCGTGGATGGGTTGTTGGTTTGTTTGTTTGTTTGTTTGTTTGTTGTTTGTTTGTTTGTTTGTTTTTTGTTTGTTTTTTATTTTTTATTTACGAATTTGGATCTTATACTCTCTGTAACCGTTCAAGTGTTTGTAACTCATCACTTCATAAACTCACATGTGAAATAACACATTAGCCACTGCCGTTCCATTAAACACTTAATGCACAAAGCCATAGACAGAAACAGTTCTTAAGTGTGTGCATGTTTTGGCTTACCACCGCGTTCATAGAAGACTATAGATAAGTAAAGATGCTAAGTGTCGGAGTAAACACACGCGCTCGCCTATCGGATAAGTTTAAGTACATTTAAAACACTGTGTAGGTGGGGGAAACCCCGGGTTGTTGTTGTTGTTGTTTTCTGTTAATCTGTTAGCTGTCTTTCTGTCTGGACAGGGATTTGTTGGAATGTCACTTGAAAGTAAGTGACACTCATCATTTATTTGCCTCACGCAGAAAGTTGGTGTCAGACCGCTCGCAGGTGTTCCCAAACAACGCGATCCATTAGAACGCGATAAGCTACATAAAATGGATCCATGGCAATTGAATTTAAGGTTTTTCTTTATATTCATCTTCCTTGTTTCTTATTCTACATCGTCAACATTTGTGTGTTTCTAAGTTCTATTCCCATGCTCTGAGCTTAAATTAGTCTTTCCATCTGCTTATAGTTTTTCCTGTGACTTTTTTATCTGTGTGTGTGATTTTTCAGGGTCGTATCTTCACTTATTGTGTCTGTAAGTTGTCTTTAATCTCCCGTGACGGGCGACTTTCCAATTCTTCACACGTCGTCCGCCTCACCCCCTGAGGAACAAAACCCCAGTCGCCGAACCTGCAGCTAGTCTCTTTGCCGACCGAGCTGTCTGCTTTGAACACTGTTATCTGCTCCATAAACGACCAGCGTTCTTTTGTGAGCCCCGCAAAGGTCATTCTGTAGATCGTTTCGGGCCATTTACGTCATTTATAAAAGAAGACTGAATGACGAAATTGCCCGAGAGAACGAATCGCTGTGAAGATGTAATATTTTTATCTTAGCGGATCTCAGTGGAAATTTTCGTGATTTTTTTTTTATTTCTTAATCTTGTTTATTCGTTACGAAACGCCACTTATTCTTTGTCATTTAGTTTAAAATTTATCATCAGGAACTTATTTTGCGTTACTTTTAGACGACTGCAGTCGAGAAGTGTTCGACGCTGCTAAGTAGAAATTTAGTTTTATGTTCACCACGAAAACAATTTTAAAAGAGGGAAATTAATTACTTTTATTTGACAGCTAGCCGAGGCTTTCTTAAAATAAACTACACTATAACAATGAAAGTAATTATTTATTACGACAGACTTACGAATGGCATAATCATGACCGCCATTGTTGTCTCGTGTTCCGCAGTGGCGCTCCATGCGGGCAGATACCAAACTATTGACAAGCGACGAAATAACAATGGACATACGATAAATTATCTTTTTTTCATTTTAACAATGGGCAAGATCATCCAGCCTGAGACGAGAGGCGACAATTTTGATTTTGTATATGCTGCCCTGGTAACGCAAACAGAAAAGAGAGTAATTTGATTTTTTTTTTTAATTTAAATTTAAAACCTGCACTAAATCGACGTGAAGTGGTCCTTGACCAATCCTGTTTCGATAAACGTTTGCAGTTTTTGTTTTTTGCGACGAACAAAAACGAAAGTGTGTGTGTGTGTGGGGGGAGGCCATCGTATGATCATATTTCCGTCACTTCAGTGAAATGCCAATATCTCTCTCTCTCTCTCAGCAGCAATGAGTGGCTCAGACGTCAGAGTTCGACTGTGCCAACATCCATCCATTCATCCTTGTGTTGTGGGCCGCCGCTCACACACTCATCACATGCGCCGGCCCTCGAGTGTCAATACGATAAGTCTCACTGACGTAAAGGAGGCGGTTATTAAGGCATCTGATGCCACGGCAGGTCGAGACCTCTGCTCGGTTTCTTGGGAAACAGGAAGCACGTGCTTATCTTTAAACGCTGGGATCGAACCAGAACCTCCGCTACAGTCAAAGATACTAGTAAGACGAGTCACAGATAACCAGCGGGTCAATTGTTGGAGCGTTTGAATGAGTAACTGTACTCGAAAACACTGTGACCAGGTCTCAAACACAAAGAAGTTTATTATTGTCTGGACTGTAATTTGAATGACACGTGATGCCAACATACGCACGTAAATATTCCCTATTACTACAGACCGAAATAGTTTGTTTCTTTATTTTTTTTAAAGGTATTTGGTTTGTGTCTCGGATACTGTGTCAGTAAATGTGTTTCGTAAGAGGGCAAATCATGAGTTAACAAAACCTGAAGATCGTGGGGTCGAGATTCTAATTAATGAGCTTGTTCTGAGCCACTGATTGACTATCCCCCCTGTGGAGGGGAGGAAAAAGCCTCTCTCTCTCTCAATTTCTGCCGAGTCATGATTTGATATGTTGATTTAAATAGCACAGAAGCCACAATTACGACTATCAACAGGATCTGCAAACCGTGGTCCGTGGTCTCTTAGGACACCACATTAACTTTGAAAACAAAACAAAAACTGTATGAGTCCTACAAAACTTAATATTTTCGATCTGTTCAGCTCTTCAAATAACAGACGAATGGCATTTGTTTTTCTGTCTTATTTCCGACCCTCCATTCTTAGTTCTTTCAATTGTACGTTTCTTCCGCCATTCTTCCCTTGTTCCACCGTCCGTACTGGTCAGGCATTTGGGCGCCCCACCTTGGGCTTATTACGTCATATGACCCGTGGGAAAGACAAACAGAGGGCCCGGAACATGTGACGGAGTGTGAGAAGGCGCGGCACATTCCAGGGTTGATAGAATGTCGTATTCGGGAGGTCGCGGGTTCGTACATGAGCGCGGAATCAGATATACCCACGGATTTATCCGTGAGTTTGCTCAGCGCGTTTAGCCAAATGCTGGGATAATATTTTTAAATTTCGAAACAACCGATTCCACGTAGTCCCCCCTCCCCCCCCCCATTTATCATAAATTATGATTTGATTCTCTCCTTATTTTATGGTCCTCTTTGAAGTGCACAGCGCGGGATGAATGACGTCGAATTACAAGGAAGGATTTCGAAGAAGGCTCAGGTGGCTTCTTCGTGTGTGGCGTTTCCTGAGTGATCCTTTCTTTCGCTGTTGTTTTTCGTATTCCTTCGTCACAGTGTGTACAGTGCTTGACACGCGCGTAGTACAGACTGGGAGAGGTGCAATTTGCTGACGAAACAGATTCCTGCATTACTTGCTTCTACATGTATGGAGGCGTCCATCGACCTCTCAGCCTGCACTGTGTCCGTTTGCGTCTGTTTCATCATCACGGATCAACTTACTAAAATACTTTCTCGCATTCGATAAGAATGATGTCAACAAAAAGTTTCCCATTTCAGTTCGTCAAAATGTTATCGCGAATTATTTTATTACCTAACCTAACCTAACCTAACCTAACTTAACCTAACCTAAACTAAACTAAACCTAACCTAACCTAAACCTAACCTAACCTAACCTAACCTAAACCTAACCTAACCTAACCTAACCTAAACCTAACCTAACCTAACCTAACCTAAACCTAACCTAACCTAACCTAAACTAAACATAACCTAACCTAACCTAACCTAACTTCAGTTTTATCACGTTTTCAGAGTGTTCGTTGTCAGTGTTGGGCCTATATCGTGATTCTGTAATTCCGCCATGTTTTCACAAGACTTAAGAGCGGGAAAAGTGTCCAAGTAAATATTGTACTTAACGCAAAATTCTGATAATTCTGAAATATTCAGACAATTGTTGGTTCGAAGAACTTTTCGAATCCGCAAAGTCAAAGAAATATTTCCTGCGTAGGGAATCTGAGAATAGTCAGGGAATTGAAGCTGACATATGCACTCGCAGATCGACAAAAATAATCAGGATCCAAGGTCCGATAGATCTCTCTCGAACATTAAGCCTGCTCTCAGACGGTTGAAAAGGAAATTCTTTAATTAGACGCATTTATTGTCATCTAACGATGCTATTTCAGCTACAGAGGTTAAGTAGGACAGAATTAGATGGGAAGATGATAATGAATCACATGATCTTGGCTGTTCTGAAGGTGCTAGTATGTCTTATAATTCACCTGGAAATATAGATGAAAGTAATTTCATTGCTAATAATCCTTATTGAAAAGCTGATAGTCACTTAGCTCGTGCAGATGGTCGTCTTCTTGTTAGGAAACCGCTGTTACGATGTTCACAGGAGTCGAACATTGTTCCTTATCCTGAGGAAAACCAAGAGAAAACAATTTGAATAGTTGGCAACTCGTCCTGAACTCGAACCCGGTGTTAGGACAAATTATACGCTCAGAAATGTCTGATCACCTGGAACAAGTCTGTGTTTTCTTTTAACGCCGTCAGATGTCTCAGGTTGTGTGTGGGAAGTTTTGCAGGATCTAATGATATCTGCAGGTCAGACACTCGAGTCTGATTGTCGGGATAAAGGTCGGGGCCCCCATGACTTCACTCGATGACTTGCGGAAATCAATGCCTCGTATCACGTGAACAAGAATGGCGCGCATTCACCGCCAGAATGTTGCGGGGGTGAATTTGCATCGCAAGTTCAGTGCAAAAACGGTGCAACGTCGTCTGTCTGCGTCTTATGTCCGAAACGACGGAATGAATTTTGATTAAATTTCGTGCGCTGGGTGAGGAGGAGATCTGCCAAACTTAACTTTTTGTACGGACCTGTACTTTATATTTAATTTTACCCCAAATGTAAAAAAAAAAAAAAAAAAAAAAAAAAAAAAAAAAAAAAAAAAAAAAAAAAACTCGTCATACAAAGATTACCATGTGCAAGTTTCATTTCAAAAATTTGTTAACGTGATAAGTCGCTTAGTTACTTAAGATATTCCACGAAATTTCATTACAATCCTTCCTTCTGCTCTTAGATCTTCCAGGTTGGCTGTTTCCTTCAGATTTACCGAGCAAAATAAAACAAAATCTTATTTGTAGTAGGATTATGTTTGCAACATTAGATTTTAATGTGAAAAAATATCATATCCATTGATGTATCTACAGCGTCAAAGAATGTACATTTCATAAAATGTAAATTCACTCTTGTTATTATGTGGTCCTATTCGGCGGTCTGATCCCCCATCAAGAACTCCTAGCTTTCTCTTATTAAAGTCAATGCCTGTGCAACATTTGATTTGCAGTGCCGAAAAGAAGGCGGGAAATTAAGAGAATGATGAAAATTACACACAGGGAACGTTCAAAAATTGATAATCTTTGATTAGTGTTATTCAGAAAGGTTGAAATTGGTCGGACCTGTGGCATACATGATTATCTGTGAGTAGTAATAATATTGGTTTGAAAATCATGTGGAAAGAAATAACTTGGTAGATGCAGGTATAGATGGGTTATAATGAAGTAGGTGAGCGTGTGTACAGTGGATTGAACTGGCTCATGGTAGGTTCTAGTTGCAGAGCAAAATGGATTACGTGTTCTTGCCCTCACGCCCAGTAAAAAACTGGTGAATGGTGATATTGTTTAAAATATTGTAACAAAAGAATGTTTTCTTTACTTTTCTTCGTACATGAACCATTTTTCCACCAAGACCACATATTTAGACCACGAGGCGCGTGCGCAGTCTGACCTCACATTGGTGACCCGTTGACCTGACTCCTTGGTGCTAGGATACTATTTTTATATAAAGACAAACGTACTTTTCAAAACACTGATTGCACATTCGAAATAAGTACGCAGACCAGTGCAGTGATCTTCCTTTTCTGTCCTGCTTCATTCCTTTTAACTTCCATTTCGTCTGTCTTTATTTCCTCTGTACTTCGTCTTCTTGATTATTTTTTTTGCTCGATATTTTATCAAATCTAAAACTTCTTGACGATGGTGAAGAGTCAATTGAATAAAAATTTTCTTGGATATTATCCATCGTCTAGTAAATATAAAACGTAAAAAACGACGTTTCGGAGATGGGACTCTATCTCCGTCTTCAGGTTCCTACACAGTTGGGCCCACTAGATAGAGCTAATCCCTATCTCCGGAAGACGGAGATAGAGTCCCATCTCCGAAACGTCGTTTTTACGTTTTATATTTACTAGACGATGGATAATATCCAAGAAAATTTTTATTCAATTGACTCAATATTTTACTTCGTTGAAAATGACCATCAAATTACGACGAATACGAAAGTTGCACTCGTCAGAATCCCGACATGTTTCGACTTCTACGGGGTCTTCTTCAGTGGCAATTCCCTGTTCTGTCCTCAGTGCACGCCACTAATGATTCCACTACATTGTGTCTCATTCTACCTCTGAGATATGAAAACATTTAAAAGTCGTCTAACAACGACGTACATTCATAGAACTACATTATCTCCAATAAGTACAGATGTTACTTACCTGAAAAGTTTACCAGGCAGACATTCTTATACTCGCGCATATTAAGGCTTTGACCGGGATGTTCTTTTGTTAAATCTTATGTGGTACCGCCTGATTCGACTTCTAATGGTTAAGTGAAGTGTTTTCTTCGCGGTACGGTCTGGATTCGTAAATATTATGAAGACGAGCTTCGGCTTCAAAGGGTTAACCAGCTGATTTTCGTAATGGTGAGGTGTAGTGTTTTCTTCGCGGTACGGACTGGATTCATAAATAATATTCAGACGATCTTCGGCTTCAAAGGGTTAAACGTCTTGCCCACTGTGCTCATAGGCTGTCAGAAAATTGCGTAATTTCCGGGCACTATGGCATTATTCACCACTGTTATTTTTTATCCTCTCGTGTTCTTCGCTTGTTTACAATTGCTCCATGTTGTGTGACGTAGCAGATGACGTCAATAGTTCCTCATAATAACACCAAAAAAAACATTTTGGGGAGTGTAACTTTTGTATCTGTTATAATCTGATGGCTTCTTCAACAACATCAATTATTTTGTACATACGCCTGTGATAACACCCTTTTTACTTGTCTTGTTTCCTTTCATCTTTATTTTCTTCTTTCTTTCTTTCTTTCTTTCTTATGTATGTTTCATCTTTATTTCAATGTCAGGCTCCAACCCCGTTCGTATAATTGTCCTGTGACCCCGATATTAGCCCGGGGAGCATGAGTAAAAGCACGATAACGCATTACCTTTTAAATATAAGTATATTGTGTTACTGCTATACACACCTCAGCAGTTTGCTGCTCTTGGATTTGTGGTCAGATTCCATCACTGATGACGTAGAAGGTGTCGTCATGACCAGTAACTGTTGATCGTCTTTTCTTTTTCTTTTTAAAGGGGATTTTGAAGCGGTGGGTTCATAAACGTTTTCTGTGTTCAACAGTTGGCCCGCCTGTCCTGAAAGGTCGTTTTGTCGAAAATTTTCAGATCGCAGTGTGACCCTTGAATTGTCAGTGCGAGAGGTTTCTTTTCAGATAATCGCTGCATCTTGTTCTGAGCATGGAGAGGGTTAATTAACGAGCGACTGTAGCCGGTATTTTTTTATTTATTTTTTTCATTTCCTCTCGTTCACTTGGTGTATCGGACATTCCTGAGTGACCGGTGCCAAGCGCGTGGTTCCGGCTCGTCACATCCGGTAAGAAGGGTGATGTATATTCCCACCTCAGTTAACAGCGGAGTTTTTTTTCAAAAACTTTGTTGATGGTGGTCTTCTGTGGCTGATGTCCTGATGATGGAGGCAGCGTGTTCCTACGAAACGCTGGCGTGCTACCAGAATGCTACAAGGCGCAACAACGCGGATGATGACCGATTTTTTCTTAACAGCGCCTTCAAAAAATCACATTTTACTTTCAAAAACTTTGCTTAAAATTATTCGTGAACGACGAGGGAATTATTTTCGTTTTATTTTTAAATAAGGAAATGAATTTTACAAAAGTTAAAGCCCTCATCTTTAATGACCTTTGTCACATTAGCCATTTGTTTTCTGTACTTCGTGTGGATGTTTTCTGCGGATATGAAATTTGGTCTTTCTGCCTTAGACAAGGAGAGAAAAAACTAGTATTGAAGATGTTTAGAGAATGAAACGCTGAGAAGAATATTTGGCCCTAAGAATGGCACAAAACGAGACACTTTGGTCTCCACAAAAAAAAAAAAAGAGTACCTTCTCAGTTTGTATTCAGAACCTAATGTTTTCAGGGCGATGAAATTAAGAAATATGAAATGTGTTGGGTATGTAGCACGAATGGAAAAGCGAATTCATACAATTTTTTTTTCGAAAAATCTCAACAGAACAGAATCCTTGAGAGGAAAATTTCAAAATGAATCTTAGAGAAGTAGGCTTTGAAAATAAAATAAATACGTCAGACTTTTTTTATTATTATTATTTAGTGTTCTGTGTGACGACAGGTCCATATGAACAGGATCCTTCCATCCTTTTCTCGGACTGGGACCTGTTCATATACGTTCTTGGCAGATGATCCAGAAGTGGTTTGCCATTGCCTTCGTCTGTGTGTGAATGGAGTAATTGTTGGGATGCCACGGAGGAAAACCCCGTGTTGCCTAGACCACGGCCTTGCCCAACACAAGTTATAAATTCGGGCACCGCCGGGAATCGAACCCGAGACCCCAGGATTACAAAGCCAGCGTTCTAACCGCTAGACCACCGTAAAACATTGTGCTCGTGCACGTGGCTCTAAAAGAGTACATCAGAAGACATTTATCTTCAGCGGATGAACACGATCTCTCTCTCTCTAAAACCATGGTAACCAC